ATTTTTTAAAACCTCTCCCCAAGATGCTGACATCTGCCATCAAAAGGTAGAGTCTGATTGACTTCTCTTAAATGGGGACCTGCTTTTAGTGACTTGTTTCTAACAAATAGAATGTGGTGGACTTGATGCTGTGTGACAAGTGAGATTAGGTTAGAAATAGCAGTACTGCTTCTGTCTGACTCTTGGGGTGATTGTCCCTGGAACCCAGGCACCATGTTCTGAGGGAGCCCAGGCCACATGTGGGTGTTCCAGCTGACAGCCCCAGGGAGCCTCTGACAACCAGCGTCCCGTGCCACAAGCAGGAGTGAGCAAGTCTTCAAAGGATTCCAGGCCTCAGCCTTTGAGCCACCCAGCTTGTGCCAAACCCTGTGGGCTTTGCAGATTTGTGAGCAAATAAACTGGTGGTTTAAGCCACGAAGTTATGGGCTGGTTTGTTATATAGCAATAGATAACCATACAAATAATATAATATTAAAGATTTTTAACATTAATTCATATTCACACAGGTTGACACCTTATTTGTATTATTTGGCAATATGCAATCATATTTTATGGCTGTATTATTAGCATGTGTATATAACTTCGTGTCTGTTTTCTGTTTTCTTCTGGGATTTTATCAGCCATCTTTACATTTTACTAGGTAATCTTCATGGTGATTATTAAAGGCAGGATATCTAATAGTCCGTGCAATACTTATACCATGCTTTTGGCAGACCTAAGTAAGCCCTGGCTCTACAGCTACTGTCCCGTAAAGGAACCTTGGTGTACCTGCCAAATGGGGCATATAGAGGGACTATGGGCAGGTCAGTGTCTTCTGTTCCCTTTCCTGGAAGGGTTACCTCAGTGCAGGTCATTGTACATGTTACTTCTGCTGAGTTGCAGATCTTCGTGTGCTGAGGGCAGCATGTTATTTAAACTGTTTCAGTTTTCTTAATGTTTGTGCTTAAATTGTCCTCCAATACAGTGGTGATAATATGATCTGGGATAGAATTCCTGGGAATGGACTTCCAGCTGGGCTGAGAATGATTTGAAAAAGGGAGAGAAGAAAGCCTGTATATAAAGGAGAATAATGAAGATAAATGACCAGTTTTCTTGCCTGATCTGAAAGGGATTAATCAGATCAGGTTAGAGACGGGCAGTTGTAATCTGACTGACACTGAACTCCAGAGCAGAACTGCTTGGTGGGGAGTCATAGAAGCCAGTGGTGGTTGTGAAGACACGAAGGGGCTGTGGGAATGTGGCAGGATGGCACAAATTTTTGAGTCCGGTGACTCTTAGCTTGAGACTGAGGGCTGTCCTTCCCAGCTCGAGGTCTGCCTAAGTCATCAGGGCCTCCAGTGTGCTTCCTCATCTATAGAGCGGGAGCAGTGGCGCCTGCATCACATGCTCGCCGTGAAAGGTGTGCTTCCCACTGCAGGAGAAGGGTAATTCAGCGCCATCTGCAGTAGTTCAAAGGATGAGCTGAAAGAGAGGAGAATGTAGTTGTGGTGGGGCAGGTGACAGGAAGTTTAGGTTTTCTCCTGTCAGGCCTGTCTTTTCCCATGGAGACCTAGCTGAAGAGAAATACTGGAAGTTGGTTAATTAAAGGTAGCCCTTAACTGACTGCCTACTAACTGTAGGCCACCCTGTTGGACTCGCTGGAATGCAAATGTGGGTGGTTTCTGGCGCCTGCTCCTCAGGTATTTATAGTCTAGGAGGAAAGGCAAACACATGCATACATGACTGATTGAGAGGGTGCTGCCAGCTACCATACACGGGCGAAGAGGAGCTCCTGCTGCAGGACTTGGGTGGGTAACAGTTCATGTAAGTGCTGGCATTTGAACTAGATCTCAAAAAAGCGTTCTAGGAGTGTAGATGAGCAAGTACGGCCTTGATCAGCGTTAATCCGTTGTTCAGTAGAGCCAAACACAGGGATGAGGCAGTTGATCAAAGCAAATATTTCTTCAGGCATTGAGAAGTCATTGGAGGTTCTGGAGCAAGGAAGTGACACAATCAGACTGGCAGCATGTGTTCAGATGGTTGGAGGGAGAAAGAGCAATTACATAGCTGTTGCAGTAATGTAGGCAAGGGAGCAAGACAGTGATGTCATAGAAAAGGCAGCTGTGAAGAACTGTCATTTCAAGGAGGGACAGATATAGGACTTGGTGATAGATGGGAATCCTGAAAGCTCAGTTGGCCAGAGGGACCGTGATCCGAGCCCCACAGGCGGAGGGCCGGGAGCAGGCATGGTGCCTGTAATTCTCAAACATGCTGGATGGTGTGGGCTGGCTGGACTCCTGTGTGAAGATGACTGGCAGGTGATGGGAAATGGGAGGTTGCACTTGTGTGAAGTCAGAATTTGTAGATTGGACAGTAGCTACTTAGAGATTACAGCTGAAGCTGGGAGAGAAAAGAGTTGTTAAAAGATGTAGTCTTTCCATGGGAAATAGAAGGTGATGGATGGATGATGGGACCTGGTGTTTGCTAAGGGTGTGATTCTTTGGGCATATTTCTAGTTTGTGGGAAAATGCAGTGGAGGCTGGCTGAAGTGGAAGGTGGGCAAGGTTCCTGCTGAGATCAGTGTTGCCAAGGCTGTTCACTTGACTCATGTGATTAGTGTCTAACCCAGTGTGTAGTAGAATGAATACCTAGCAAAAATACATCCTTGAACCGTCTGCATTTCTAAGGGCTGAGCCTGCATTTCACCTGCCAAGGTCTGCATTGAGTTTAATGTTACCTAGGAGTGCAGCTTTGTTAATGCCCTTAAATGGACTCTCCTCTGTCGGGGAGAAGCCGAAAAGGGAGTAATTAGTAATCCGATACTGATGAGCATTAGTAAATGGCATCTCAGGTCAGGGGGAGACAGTGGATTACAAAGAAATGAACTCTGAACCTAGGATTCTCGGCTTCATTCTGGATATCTGAACTCTGCTGCTTTCAGCAGCTCAGAAGCCACCATGTAGTTCTCAGACGTCGCTGATGTGCCTTCTTGTTCAGTCCTCTGTCCCAGGGTGAAGTGACCGGTTCACCTGTCAGCCCTCTTCCGCACCACAGCCAGGGTCCTCCAGCCCTGCCCTCTTTCCCTTACTCTTGTGACTGGAGAATTTCTCCTAAATACAGAAGCATTTTGTAATGTACCTGAAGTGCTGAAGAGGCCATGTGTTACCTGCCTGTTGGAGTCTAATCTAAGCATCAGAATTGTCAGTACAGGACCAAGTTTTTCTCATTCTGACTATGTTTGCGATACCAACACAGCATCTTGGTCAAAATGAAAAATGCTTGAATGATGTGTGTTCTAAACTCTCTCAACTCTTACTCACCTCTTCCTTAGAGAGAATTCCCAAACAGAATCTCCCTTCGTCCATTTTAGCAGTTATATTTACATTTTCTTCTAGAAAAAGATTATGCGTAGAGCCAGAAGACATCAGTGGCTAAATATCTGATACAGAAACTGGGTTATGTGCATTTTCTTGCCTTAGATCTTTGGGTGGGTGATCCTGTAAGCCATCTGTTCTAGGCGGTGGTGTTTGAGAAAATTTCCAGATGTGGTCATATCGCTGATGAAGCTTGTGCCTGGCTTTTGGCTCTGCTAGACCTTGCAGGGCAGGGTGGTCTTGCAGAATCTTGGGCCATGTGGATTTTGCTGTGCCGTGGAATAACAGGGCCTTTTCCACCTTGCATAACTGGAAAGAAGTTTGAAAAGACACCTTTTAGGACACCTGTTCTGTTTCTTTGACTCACTATGGATATAATTTTCTCTGCAGTGATAGCATCCTGGTAGGGATAGTGAGCTTGTTTTCACCTCTTCATATTGGAGAGTAGGAGAGACCCAGCCTCTGGCTCGCTCCCTACAGGAAAAGGATGTCAGTAAAGGAAGAGGGGTTCTATGGAGAGCCTGTCTTTCCTAGATCTCTTCTAGAGTCCAGTGTGGCTTCAGCAATCATGAGGCAGTTGGGGTGTTTTGCCGTTTCCTCAGTTCTGTCACATAGGTCATCTCATCTGATCCTAAGTGACCCCATCAAGTAGGAGGTTGATGCACTGTCAATCCTGTTTGGTAGGTAGGAAAGACCAACAGAGTATTGCAGTTGGTTCCTTAAGAGGTATAGTGTAAGTGTCAAACCAGACTTAAAAAGAAACTTTAAATAGTGTTTTTTTTTTAACACTTTGTTTTTAAACACTCAGCCACCCTTAGGCCCTTTGCTGTCAAGTTGTGGGGTTCTGTTAAAAGGTTACTCAAAGGGCAGATGGACAGTCTAGAAGTATTATTTAAATCATTTATCTGCTTGAAAACAAAAGTGTTGCTTTCTTGGAATAATTTGGGAGATAGGCCACATTGGGTCATAGGCAGATGTGTGATTTTGCTGTTTGTGAATAGCTGTCATAGGGCAGTGAAGGAGGACTGTGTGAGGTCTGCGCCCGCTAGCCAGTGACCTCCTTACATGACCTGTAGACAGATTTAGGCAGTGAGAAGCCAGGCCCAAGACACTCACCCAAGTGTGGGTAAAATTGCAGTATTTCCAGAATCTCTCACCTGGCCTTAGTGCATCAGTAGTGTTTCCAAGGGGTGGAGCTATCTCCATATCCATAGGTGATTACAACGAGGGTGGGGGAGATTGAGGGCCTATCTGGACCAGAGAGGTTAGGTGGGGTCCCTTTTGCAGCCAGGTTGCAAGAGACATGGGCAAGCAGAAGTAGATGACTGCTTGTAAGCTGTAAATGGGTTTCTCCCACTTTATTTCTCCCTTTGACTCATTTTGGCTTCAAAGGTTATTTACCCCAGGCTAGGAACATATTTTCCCCCCTAGAGTTACACCAAGCTTCTTGAGTTTCCAGCTCTCTGCTATCGTTGACTTAACGTTTGGTCCTAGGTATCCAGGAGGGGACTGTGCTGGGGGAGAGGGTGTAGCGCTTCCTTTTAGGGTGGGCGCTCTCTGGGCTTCGTTCTCCTCGCAGGTGACTGGATGGAGGTGGTCACAGAACCACAGAGCACCTCCTTCTTACGTGTTGCCCTTCCCCTGCAGTGGGCTACCTTGAGAATGGAGAGAGGAGCCAAGGAGAAGAACCACCAACTGTACAAGCCCTACACCAATGGTAAGACTGTGTCTCCATCCCTGTCGTGAAAGATCCCTTTGGAATGTTTCTGAGAGCTTTCAATCCACACATTCTCCACGATACACAGGGTAGAGCATGTATTCTCAATGTTTCCAACATGCTTTCTGCCTGCGTGCTGCCTGACAGGGCTGTTCTCCTTTGCAGGAATCATTGCAAAAGATCCCACTTCACTGGAAGAAGAGATCAAAGAAATCCGTCGTGGCGGTAGTAGTAAGGCTCTGGACAAATCCCCGGACTTTGAGCTCTCTGACATTTTCTACTTCTGCCGCAAAGGAATGGAGACCATTATGGATGATGAGGTGACAAAGAGGTTCTCAGCAGAGGAGTTGGAGTCCTGGAACTTGCTGAGCAGAACCAATTATAACTTCCAGTATATCAGCCTACGGCTCACTGTCTTGTGGGGCTTAGGAGTGCTGATCCGCTATTGCTTCCTTCTGCCGCTCAGGTGAGGGCAGGCTTGAGCTGCTGCGGCCACAGCCTGTTGCATGATCAGCCCACCTGTGTCCCTGCTTTGCCCTTTCATTTTAGAAAGAAGGAGAGAGGGGTTCTTCACTAGTTGGTCCCTCCGACTCTCAGAAGACTACACTGGTGATTGTCCTTTAAAGGCCCTTGAATGTTCTGCGTTATCAGACAGAAACAGTTGCGTTTCTTAAAGACAAATTGCTTGTCATATGGACTAAACACGGGGACAGGGAACATGATGTACTTTCTGGCCACTCCTCCCTGGGCACAGCTAGTACAGAGGCAGCATCGATTCCCCATGTTTCTGTACCGTGTGCGATTCTGAGTATGCCTTGCTGGCTGCTGTTACCTCTAGGCTGTACTTCCTATTGCCTCTGCCAAGGTTTTTAGCCAGAGGGAAGGGCAGGGAGCAGGGGCCTGAGAAGCCAGGTCCAGAACTCACCGGCAGTTTGGCATCAGAATTGTCTCCTGTTCTGATAGGCCTGCTCGCCTTTCTAGATGAACTCTCACTGAGGTCCTCAGTGACAGATCATGGGGGTGATTGTGATGTGCACTTCCATTTTCACATGTTTGATTCTGTCCTTGAGAAGAGATTTGTCTGCTTTTTAACTTGTCTTCTTGTTACAGGATAGCTCTTGCTTTCACGGGGATTAGCCTTCTGGTGGTGGGTACAACTGTGGTGGGATACCTGCCAAATGGGAGGTGAGTGGAGTGGAAGTGTCCGTTGAGGGCACTTAGTTGTGGGATGGCAGCCACCCTGTGGCAGGCCCGACTCCTTTGGGTACAGCCAGACCCAGGGTCTTGGATAAAACAACCCAGTGGTAACAATGGCCTCAGCAGGGAAGACTGACATTTTTTCCTATCTTTAATCTGTGGCAGTTGTTTTTGTCCTCCAGCCCTAACACTGTTCCCACTTGAGAGACAGAAGGGAGAAACCACGGAACTGTGGAGTCCAGGGCTAGCAGATTGTATTGAGTTTTGAGCATTCTACTGTGTTGATAAATTGGTAGGAAGATAAGAAATGTAGGTAGGACTCTTCTGTTTTGTTTTGTCTTTTCAAAGAGAAATTTGCCCCTCCTGGAAAGATCTGGAGCCAACAAACCTCTTCTGCCCAGGCTGGTGGGGAGGGTTGACGCTCTGGCCTGCCTAATATCTATAAAAATACTTAGCAGTTACCAGAAAAGACTGTAGGCAGCAATAGTTAGCTTGTTAGACTTGGTAACTTTTCCTGTCTTCCTGTGTATAAAGTAAGAACACAGATCTTTATCCTGCCATTGCAGGTTGAAGGAGTTCCTGAGCAAACATGTTCACCTGATGTGTTACCGCATCTGCGTGCGAGCCCTGACAGCCATCATTACCTACCATGACAGGTGGGTGCGTGCAGCTGGTCAGGGGGGCTCCTCTGAGCTTCCAGCTGAGCTGACGCAGCTGGTAAGGTGAGGGCTGAGTTCCAGATGAGCCATTTCACACGAATTTTTGTTGCCTTGAATATGTTTTAAACACAGGGAAAACAGGCCTAGAAATGGTGGCATCTGTGTGGCCAATCATACCTCTCCTATTGACGTCATCATTTTGGCCAGTGATGGCTACTATGCCATGGTAAGCTCTTTTTCTGATGTTTTCAGTAAAACTTCTTCCCCTAGACTGCTGAGGGCTGGGAAGCTTCTGGAGCTTTCACAGGGCTCTTGTCTTCAGGACACACACGTGTGACTGTACCTGTGTGCATGGGCCCTCCCACATGCCTCCTTTGTTTCTCTTGCTTTGGGGAACTCTGGGGCTTTGGTAGAAGATACTCTGAGCAGAGTAACAGTGCGGTTGGAGGTTAGACCCTGGGTGTTAGGTGGGGCGATGTGGAGGGGTGAGGGTAGGGAAGGAGGGCTTAAAAGACGGGGTCCCAGGGAGGGTGTTTTTATTCAGCGCTCAGCTTCATTGCTTTGTTTTAGGATTTTCAGCTGTTTTTTTGATACCTGTCTCTGGTATCGCTGGTTACAAGGAGAAATTGAAGATTCAGGGAGTCTAATAGTGGTTTCTTAATAGTGAGAAAACTGTGGTTGTCAATAAAATGTTGGCGGGTGAGAGGTTGGCATGCTTACCATGAGATCAGGGGCTTCCTCACGGAGGGGATGTGTGTGAGGGTGACTTCACTAGCAGATTTCCTCCGTCTGCGGCCAGGTGGGCCAAGTGCACGGGGGCCTCATGGGTGTGATTCAGAGAGCCATGGTGAAGGCCTGTCCCCACGTCTGGTTCGAGCGGTCGGAAGTGAAAGATCGCCACCTGGTGGCTAAGAGGTAAACCGACGTAATGCTGTTGTCCTGTAGGACCAGTACAGCGAGGAAGGTTGCATCCCCTCCGCAGTGGAATCACAGAGTTCCTATACAGAGCCTACACTGTTCATAATTAAAGTGTTTTTTGTAAAGCATGGAATACAAAAAATTACAGAGATCGTAGTATTATTTACTAAATTAGTTATGTTTCTTAACCTTGTTATTACAGTACCCATTTAAGAAACAACACATGAACTTTTAACTCCGTCTGATACCTCAGAATGAATTTATTTTCACAAATAAAGTCAAACTTAAGGCAGTGGAACAAAGTGTTGCTCTGTCTCCAAGCGTGCAGAAAAGGTAGATCAGGTGCAGGTAATGGCACAAGTTTTGCAGTAAATTCAGAGGAATGAGGAGTCAACTGAGACCATTTCCCACAGGGACAGGTGACCCGCCGTTGAGTTCCCTTTGCTGCATCTCTCAGGGACAGTGTCGGGCCAGGCGGACTATGGGTTCAGCCTTGCAAGCTGTCGGGAAGTTTGTGGAGAGCGCTCTTTACAAGGCCCTGCCACAGATAGTTTAGATTGTGGATTTGTGAACAATGGGCCATATTTGTTAACTTGCTTTTATACATGTGGTGTGACATCTGTGTGGATTATTTATAAGTGCCTTTTGATGATGATGGCTGTATCTGACCCTTTGTTTTACTTCTCTGTTCCAAAGACTGACTGAGCATGTGCGGGATAAAAGCAAGCTGCCCATCCTCATCTTCCCAGAGGGTAAGAAGGGGCTGTTCACCACAGAGAGTTCCTGTGTGTGGGTGGGTAGGGGGTGCAGGGCAGTGGTGATGTTGCCTTGGGACCAAGTCCCTCCTCCCTTGTCCACTTTTTACTGGGTCATGTTAGGCCTCTTGAGTTGGTTGTGGGACTGAGCCTCAGGGAAATTCAACACTTGGACCAAGAGTGCCGTATGCGAACTTCTGCACTGCAGGAACCTCTTCTGTGCTATTGCCAGTGAGTCTCAGCTCCTGTGGGGTTCTCAGGAGACCCCTCAAGTCTGCTGAGTGTCTCTGGCCTGTTACCTAGGCTGTGTGTGTTGATCAGGGAACATGGTCCTATAGGCAGAGAATAGGAAACAGTACAGTTATTTTGATTGTCTTGTTTAAGTGTTGTTCCTGAGCTAGGGAGATGAGAGATTTATCCTGTTTGAAGAGCCATTAGAAGAATTTTTGTCATACTCCTTAAACTCCTGATCTGTGGGGTAAAGGACCAAAAGAAATAACATCTTACTCTCTCCTGCATTTTAGGAACCTGCATCAATAATACATCAGTGATGATGTTCAAAAAGGGAAGTTTTGAGATTGGAGCCACAGTTTACCCTGTTGCTATCAAGGTACAAGACCTTGGAGAATGAGTGTGGTCACTGTTGCTGCAAGAGAAGCCATGGAGAACTGGTGTCACCAGTCAGCGGGCTGGTACCCTGCAGTGAAGCAGCCTAGGGCTGGGCTAGTGGGTAGAAAGCTAGAGGAGGAAGACGGGAGTGGCTCATCATCTGTGGAACAAGGGCTGGCCCAATTCCAGCCTGTACCTTGCCAACACCGCCAGGGTCAGGAAATGCAGACCTTTCATGAGCTTTGTGTATTTCCCCCCACTTAGTCTTCATAAACAACTTGTGCCCTTGCTGGAGAGGATAGGGCGGAAGTGTTCTCATTAGGGAAGAAAATGCACTGCTTTGGGTTTGGGGTCATCTTGATACGACGAGCAGCTTATACAAGTGAAATGGGTCTTAAGGCTTGTCCAGTGTGCCGCCCACCTGTCAGGACCTTACCTTGGACTGTTCCAGCCGCCCAGGAGGGGGCCTGGTGAGCAGTTCCCCTTTGTCCTTCCTCTCACCCCACCTTCACTTCCATCTGATTTTACAGATAGTACATTGTATTCCATTATTACTTTTAAAAAACACAGGCCATTGTCAATATGTTCAAGAGCATTTAGGTGAAAATCTCAGTCAGGATAAAAGGGTGACTAAACGTGAGTCAGAGTTGGGCTTAGAATTTGGTCTCCACGCTTTTGCAAAGGGCCACTTGTTGCCTGCAGAGCGTTCTGTGTCCCTTTGAGGTATTTGCTGCTTCCACCTTGGCCAGCACAACTGGTGCCTTGTGGGGAGAGGGTTCCTCTTGGGTAGGTAGATGCTTCCCGGCCACTGGCTTTCGCCACGGGGGCAAAGCCCCAGGGCAGGGCTGAAGCTGGGCAGTGGCTGTCAGGTGGGTGACCTCTGGCTCGGGGCTGCCCAAGTGGTCTGTCCAGGTGCTTGTCTGAGCACAGCAGGAGGAAAACAGTCTGGTAGCAGTGTGAGGGTGGCGGGAGGTGGCACTCATGTGTGCCATTATGCATGTTTGGATACTGGGGCCCAGTATTGAGAACAGGCTAGATAGACGCTCGCTACAGGCTCCCTTAGCTGCATCAGTTCACCCGGAAGCTGAGGGTGCAGTGTGCTAGGCCATTAGGCTGTTCCTGGTCTGGAACCACCCTGAGAAGCCTGCTCTGGAACATAGCTCTGAACCAGTTTGGACAGTTAGACCCTCCTGCAGGGAAAAAGGCATGTGACTCTCACATACCAGGTCATAGCACTGGCAGATTTGCTAAAGCTCACATGTGATCATGAACTGCTGCTCCCCGGATACTTTGCAGCTGCCATGAAGCCTTCATGGTAACCAAACTTGGGTAACCTTAGCAGTTTCAAGGCTGCTACCACATTCCCACCAGATAACTAACCATTATCTGGTTTTGAGGAATTTATTGCTATTTTGAGCCTTTGCCTTGTCTGTCTCTCCACACGTCTGCCCCACATGGAACAGAGTCAGGCCTAAACCAGACTCATGCATAGTATCAAATCTTTACCCATGGAGTGCTTTATAAGATGTAATAACACTTTCTTCTCACCATATGCATTAGCTTCTGTTTAAAACTCATTTTTTTCCTGTATTTCCTTCTGTTATTAGAACATGAACTCATTACGCTTTCCAAAGTTAGTCTAAACTTCTTAGTTTCTATAATTAAATCTAAGTGTCTTCATTTCTGTAGTCAGATCTGCAACTCAGTTTGCTTATCCAGTTTCTATTCTAAGAATCATACAGTTTAGGCTTGAAAGGCCTAGAAGATCATACAGCTCAAGCCCAAGCGCAGCCCCTCAAATGCAAGAATCCCCACTACAGCCCTGCCTGGGGCCTTCTCAGGCTCCCCATGGAGGGGGCATTTTCAGCGCTGGTGCTGGCTCGGGCCTACGGGAGGACCCTTGAATTCTGTACCTTTATTTTCCGGCTCCCCAGCGCTAAGTCTTTGCTCCAGAATTAGAGAGTCAGCCTGACGTGATTACTGCCCCAGCACCTCCCTGCTGTTTACTTACCTCTTAAATTATTCTGTTTGGTGAGAACGAGGGTCGCAGCTCCAGTTGTACACGCCCCACTAAGGCCCAGCCTTGGCCTGCATTAGAGTTGCTGGCAAAGGAAAGAACCAGCCATGCCTACTGTACAGCAGCGACCTTGTGAGCTGTCAGGGGGCACCGCTTAGAATGAACACCATCTCATTAGAGTAGGGCCTCCTACTTAAAGTCACTCTGTTAGTGTAACTGCAGAAGCATGTTGTAAGCTTTCTATGTTTTCTTCTTGGTCTGGGGCACCAGAAATGAATTTTTAAAGTTGCTAGTTAGGTAAGAAAATACGTGTTTGGGGGAGGTACATACAGAAATATTTCTGAGCAAATGACATGATATTGGAGATAGGCTTTGTGAGGGGGAGGGGCAGTGGGGCAGCTGGTGAGATGCTGGACCGGGGGATGGGTGTATGGGAGCGTGTCACCCTGTTCCCTCTGTTTTGGGGTATGCTGGGAAACGTTAGCTACGTACACCTGTGTATGAGTAAGCTGCGGAACCAGTCACAGAGGGAGGACATCTGAGGGGGCTGTGAGCGTGGCCTCCCTCACACACACAGCAGTCCTGGGTCAGTCAGGTGGGGGTGCCTGTTGCTGGAGGTCAGCACTGCCCAGGTCCCGGTGTTCTCATACTGAGGCTGCTCCAGGGCTGCGTTCAGGAGGTGGCTGTGACACCCACACATTGTTAGAACTGCTGACTCCTCACCATCCATCCCTCCCTTGATTTTCAGTATGATCCCCAATTCGGTGATGCCTTCTGGAACAGCAGCAAATACGGAATGGTGACCTACCTGCTGAGGATGATGACCAGCTGGGCCATTGTCTGCAGCGTGTGGTACCTGCCTCCCATGACCAGAGAGGTAGGTCCCCACACCGCACACAGCCCGTCAGTTAACCTCTGTGTGGCCGTGAGCCTGTGCTGAGTGGTCTCATTTATTCTTACAGACTGACGAAGATGCTGTCCAGTTTGCAAATAGGGTGAAATCCGCCATTGCCAGACAGGGGGGGCTCGTGGACCTGCTGTGGTGAGTCAGAGCCATATTGTATCAGCCGAATCAGGAGGACCTGAATTTCTAAAGCGGCTGCTGAGTCGCTGACTCCATTTACAAAGAGCCCACCTCTCCCTGGTGTGCAGAATTAAGCCCCTCGGCACTGGGAAGTGAGCAGTTTGCCTCCTTTCTCCCCCTTCGGCTCAGGAGTGCCCTGCACCGCCTGGAGCTCAGGGGTCCTGGAGCCCAGGATGCTTGCACTGAAGCTTTGGGTTTCTGTGTACCCACGCCGGGGTTTGTGCTAGTTTACCAGAGCCCCAAACTATCCCTGTCTCTAGGTAGGGCTGACCTGGTGCTGATCTGGAAATTTCATAGGAGTACTGGTCTCTCTGATTTGGGGGTTTGGAAAAATTGGACCATTTAGAAAGGCAAAAGTTTTATTGTGTTTAGCGTGTTACCCACTAGAGAGGTGGCAACCTGTAAAAACTCAGTAAATATTTCATGGTTTGTGGGCCATGTTGGATCCTCTGTTGGATTTGCTTAACTGCCATTATAGTGTGAAAGCAACCAGAGACAATACATAAACAATGAGCACATCTGTGTCCCAATAAAACGTTATTCATAAAAACAGATTTGACTAGATTTATTCCGGGGGCCATGGCTTAAGACCCTTGTTCAGTATTTGACAGTTACACTCCAAATAGCAGATAATTGGAATGAATAAATGAAACTGTTCCACCTTCTAGGGCCCTTAGCTTGAGTGCAGGGGTCTGCTGCAGAGAGCATTTGACTGAAGTGGGCACTATGGGAAAAGAAGGTGTAGAATGTCAGATTTTAAACTGACATGTGGCTCGCTATGGCCCTCGGGTCTGGGCTTCCTAAACATGCTCGCCTGCACTGAGTACTTGCTGTGTGCCAGGCACAGCGCTGCTCTCTGCCACCTTGTTCCCTCCGCTCAGCAGCCCGTGAGCACGTAAACAACTCTTCCGGTCCACTGATGAGACTGACACCCAGGGAGGTGAAGTAACTTTTTCAAGGTCACAGAATAAGCACTGGGGCGATTCTGAACTCAGGTTGGACAGGCTTCCAGAACTGCGATGTCCGTGCTCCCTGTGGCTGGGGCCTGACAGGGACAGGGGGGAGCTCCTGTGCTGCAGATTTCCCAGGCCGTGGCAGCTGTGAGGCCTCCCAGCGATGGCACTCAGCTCAGGCTTCTCACCACTACCCCCTCCAAACCCGGGAGAAGGAAAGGGTGGCAGAAAGGCTGGAGGTGGGCTCGGGGTCTCATTAAGTCACCAGGGGATGGTATTCTAGGGTATAGGCGAGGTGTTGGGTGACAGGTAGGAGTGGCCTTAGAAGAGGCAGGTCCACATTCACAAGGGGTCTTTTTGGGTGTGTTGGAGGGCGGTGCGGGCTGTGTAGCCCAAACTCCGGTCACCTGGGCTCCCTTTGGTACCATCCCTCGGACACAGGGGCAGTAAGAACTTGTACTTCCCTGTGTCACGTGTGCATGAATTTGAATTTAAATTGTACAGTTCTGAATTTTACAGATTTTATTTCACAGATGAGTTTTACAGATCCTTTTAAGTCTCAATATTTCTTAAAGCATGGCTCGCCTTCCATAATGCCAGAAAATCATCTTTATCTTTTGTAAGGTGAGGATGATGTTTGAGCAGAGAGAATTTTAAACCCCATGGTGGGTTTCTGACATTAGGAAGCACCTTGACTAATAGGAGTGAACCCTGGCCCCGGGGTGAGAGCGAGGCTTCAGGCGGAGAGGCTGGGCTCTGGGCCTGCGCCCGGGGCCTGCTGATGAGAGAGCTGGGAGTGCATTTGTTCCTGGCAGTTTTGTCCTGGCTTCCGAGTAGAGCGGCACATGACTGGGGTGCCAGGGCAGATGGGAAGCCTGCTTACGTACCTCCTTTCTCTCTTCAGGGATGGTGGTCTGAAGAGGGAGAAGGTGAAGGACACATTCAAGGAGGAACAGCAGAAGCTCTATAGCAAGATGATCGTCGGCAACCAGGAGGACAGGAGCCGGTCCTGAGCCCGTGTGGTGTGGCTGGAGCCACCCTTTCTGGACCTCAGGGCTCTTCACGCTGCTGTGCATCCCAGGACCCCAGCCTCCTCAGAGCCACCCCAGGTCCCTGGGCCAGCCGTCAGAAGTGACCGCTGCTGGGCACTGTGCCCAGGACGAGATGCCTTCTTGTTTCTTGTATGACATGTCTGCTGGAGGAATACCATTAAAGTCAGCTCTCCACTTGGGCGGGTGTGGGGCTGAGTGTGGGGAAGGTTGGCCCTACTCTGTGCTCTGATGTTAGGAGGTTAGTCTGTTACGGATGCCCCCCCCCCCCCCACCAGGGCCTTTGCTGGGAAAGCTGCCCGCTCAGCAACAGAGGCACTGCCCAGGCAGTGTGGCTCGCTTCCACCTACACATCACCTCCCTGCCTGGGACCCTGCAGAGATGATGAAAAGAAAACTTACCTGCAGGGGCTGCCAGCAAAGTGAGGTTTTCCGCGCTCACACTCCTGCCCGTGCGGTCACCCAAGGGGCTGGGCAGCGGTGAGGTGGACTTGTTGCCAGTGTGGGACACCAGGGATCAGTTTGTGCTCAAACTCCAGTGCTGACCCTGGACGCCCATGTGACTTTGCTCTCTGTTACATGTGCCTCAGTTTCCCCATCTAACCCGGATCAGGCGGGGAGGGGCTGTGCCTACCTCACTGGGTTGTTGTGGGGCCTGTGGTGCTGGTCTGAATGAAGGATGAGCGTTCCGAGTGCAGGGCCGCCACGTGGCAGGGTCTGAGTGCACGTCCCAGGCTGCTGCTCAGGCTTTGCGTTTGTTTCTGTGAGTAAATAAAAGTGTCTTTGAAGGTGAACCAATTGAGGGGCTTTTCCCTTCACTCTTTCTCCCCTAGAATAGTCCCAAGCAGTGTGTGTCAAAAAAGAATCCATGTCTCCACTCTGATGTGAACAAAACCCCAGGGCTACAGGAGATTCACCTGACTCTGGAATGAGGAATAACAATGCTCGGGAGAGTTTACCTCTCCTCAGATGTGTGCTTACCTGTCAGTTAATGTAGATTTTTCCAGCACGGAGAGAATCTCCCCACAGAAATCCATGGGCGCTATTGGGCTGGAGGTGGAGAGGTGGGGGATGGCAGGGGCTGCCCGGCTGTAAGTGCAGAGAGGCAGCGAGGAAATTCAAGGGCGCGGGAGGGTCAGTGAGGGTGACGGACGGGCAGGTGGCCATTTGGTGGGCCACCTGTGGACACGACAGGCCTGTCCAAAGCCAGGTAGCCCTCACTGGTTCTTGCTTCCAGAGCCCACCAATTTCAAATCCCCCAGAGCAGCGTGACCTCGCCCCCACCCCGATTTGTCCATCTGCCTGACCCTCCCACCCTTGCTCCCGCATGACATGACCTGACACTGTTGGGGATTCGGCACCAGCCATGGTGTCACCTCTCCAAGGCAGCCCCCCGGCCTGTGGGGTGGGGCTGGGGCATCGGCCTGCTCCTCAGGCCCCAGCTCAGAGAGCTCTTTGTCTTACCTGCCCTTTGTCTGACCCTCGCCCAGACTACCCCCTTTCCTGTTCCTCCCTGAAGGGCCATCATGCCTGCCAGCCCTGCTGCTAATCCGTGATAAAGTCTTTTTTCTCTCAAAAACACTATTAGGATTGTAAGGAACAGCCTCTTATGAACTGTTGTACAAAATGTTTGAGATAAACTTTTTTTTTCAGCCTTTACAGGAGGCTTTTTCAACAATGCTGAAAAGCTATCTGGAATAATCTTTAAAAATTGGTCCTGAAGATCAAGATCCCTTTAAAAAAAAGTTTTCTGCTGTTTAGTATGTTTACCTCATGGTTTTCAGAGATATTTTTAAAATATTTTAATTTTCTCACACTGTTCAGCAAATGTCGACTGCTAGTAACATTGCAGGGTGATGGCAAGGACCTGGTTTAGAGTCTTCGCTGTGGAGGGAGATACTAGGGGAGACGGAGCAGTGATGGCTTTACTCTTCTGCTCAGCAAAGGGATGTGAACTGCACCCCAAAAGAGAAATCTGCTGTTTTTATCTAGTGCATGTTCAAGTGCACACACTGGGCTGTTCCGTCCTATTAGGGCCCTGCAGGCCCCTGACTCAAGTGAAAGATGATTTTGCTTTGGGATAAGTTATTCTTGGTGGTAAAATTTCAGACCACTTAGGAGTAAGGACAAGAAACATATAAGAGAATGTCAGGCCCAAAATACACCCACGCTTTTGATGCCAGCAGCCCTGAGGACCGTCTTGGAATAAAACCAAATAGCATTAGTAAGTGCGATGAGCACAGCAGCTTCCAATTCCACCAAGCCCACCACTCATTGGCTGTTCTGACTTTATCTCTCTATTTCCTGATCTATAAGGACTTGGGCAGATGGTGTCTAAGGCCCTTTCCACCTTAATTTCTGTACTTCTTAAACCCATATGCAAACCTTGGTTGTAAGCTCTAAATCACTTTGAATCCAACACCAAGGCTAGTGAAACGCCAGCCCACGAGAGGGTGTCCTGCGTGTAAGGGGGAGTCCAGGGTTTTAGGTGGTTGTGGGGCTGGGTGGGTTTGGTTGTGGATCCTGGAAAGACTTGAACAGATTTTCTTTTCCAGCTAGTTAGAAAAGGAGCTTTCTAAAAGGCTAGTCAAATTCCCCTGACAAGAAGCTTAGTAGAAAGCTGTCAGCCAGGCCAGAAGCTCAGCCTCTAAGCTTGAGGAAGCCGTTTGAGAGGATGCCCTTGTGACAGAACCAACTCTGGAACTTGATTCTTTTCCATGGCTGAACCCCCTCCCTGTGACTTCCCTTCAGGGGTTAAAGGCTCAGTATGAGGTGGTGGGGAGAGCCCCACAGAGCCCTGACAGCCCGGGCCAGACAGAGACAGGAGTCTGCTGGCCCTGTCCTGTTCAGTGCTCGGCAGCCCTGTGCCCTCACTGGGTGCAAACCCTGTTCGGCACAAGTGCTCTGGGTCTATCAATCCTGCCATTTCCTTCCTGGAATTGACCAAAAACCCAGTGGTCTGTGGGATGATGCCTCCTGTGTCCCTGACCCATGAGGTTCCACTGCCCCAGAGGCCCCATCCACTGCTGCGCCTCTTGGGTGGCCGGACTTGATTTCTCCAGCTGCACTCGCCTGTCCACGGGGCGGGAAGGGCATCCCACTGGCTCCTGCACAGGTTGAGAGACCATCCAGTCATCCATCTTCCATTGCACCAACACCCCTTCTACCCCCAGTCAATATGTCTCTCTCCGATGGGAAAGTTAATAAATTTTGCTCTAGATTAAAAGTATTGATCATTTCATTTGTAAACGATAAATAAAAAGGGGGAACTTTTCATTGCACCAGGGGTAGCGTCTGGTGTATTTTGCTGGTGAGATTGCGCTAGCTGCAAGCAGGGTGGGCTTCTCATATGCATTCTGGCTGGCCGGCTGCATTGATTTCCTATTAGTCTCCCAGCACCACCCAGTAACACATCATTTCAGTACCTGCTATTAATGGTCTTTTGATAAATAATCACTTGTAAGTCAATAAATTTTTATTAAACAGTGTGGCTCTTTGATTTATTAAAATCCGACCATGTTTGTCTGGGAGAAAAGGGATGCTGAATTGAAGTGGAGGTTTTCATACATCTTCCTGACGCCGAGCAGTCACCTCACACTCTGGAGAAAAACAATTGCATTTTAACAGAAACAAAACAGCCGAGTTTGGAACTTGGGCCCAGGGAAACTTTATCTCCGTCAGTCTGAGGCTTACCCTGCGGGGAGCAGCTGCAGGCCAGAGGGCGCCGTGTGAGAACTTTGTTTGCTTCCGAGAGTGGGGAGGAGCTGGGGCTGGGCCCCCCCAGCCCCCCTCTGTCGCCTCATCGGGGGTGCCACAGACAGGTCCATCGGTCATTCCTCCTCCCCGGCCGGGCTGAACGCTGCAGCCTGGAGCGGCCCTCCAGGCACCCAGCCCTCAGCAAACAGGTGGGATTCGTGAGAAAAGTTGGACTAGATCTTTTAGCTTCCTTCCTGGCTAAATCACCAAGGTCACGGTGGCAGGAAATGCCTGCCAAAGGATGATTTCTATTTTATGTGGAGATGTGGCTGTATGGGTTATAAAAAGTGGGCCAATGGCGGACGATTGGGTCTTTTTTGTGATTGCCATTGGCATAAAATTTGCTGTACATGGTTTGACAAGTTTTTCTGATGACTAATATGGCCCCAAAGGACTGAATATAGAATGAACTCTCAGCCCAGAGGAAACTGCCTGGCTAGTAAGATGTTTTACTGGAAGTCTGGCTAGTAAGGTAGAACCCCTTGACCCTGCCCGTCCTGGGACTGCCGCTGACCTCCGTCCCATTCATATTCAGTGCGAGGGGTGCTGACAGGAGAAGGGCTTTTGAAATAGGGATGGCTAGTAAATTCAGCTGAAGGCTTTCATGTTTTTAAAAATTTTAAATAACATTTGAAATTGTTTAAAAATTAATTTTTTTACATTTTTGAAAAGTTTGTAACCTTTGCAAACGTAATTTTTTGCAAAGTTTGTGATTTTGCAAACATAATTTTTACATCTGCAAAGTTTCTCTGTTGTTGGTTGGAGTTCCTTTTCTGTCCTGGTCGTGGGGGTAAAAGCTGGGGATCGGGAACCTTGGAGGTGAACAGGGAGCTGGAGAGCAGGAAAAGAAACGTGTGACTGTACCCAAGCAGGTGGGTATGGACGCAGGTCTTCAGGGGGTTGGCCCTTTCTGGCCCCACGCACAGGAGGTGGGCCAGGAGCCCGGCTTCCCATCCAAGGAGCGCTGAGCCTGTGCCTGGGGCCCTAGCCCCACCCCGACAAGTACCTCGGCTGGGCCGGGGGCCCAGGCTGGGAAGCATGGCATGCAGCTTTCTAGAACACAAATTACACTGAGTATATTTTGCATTCTATATGTGCAAAATTCAAGTCCATTTTCAAGGTAAAACTTGTGAAATGCCTCTCTTGGGGTTTTACTCCCCACCTCCGCTAATTCTCACCACATTTCCCCTGTCCACCACTCTGTTATTGGGACTTTGGTAGGGATGTTGAAGGATCAGCTTAGGGTTTCTTGCACTTCATGAGCTTACCTTCGGTGATTTAGAGTTAAATACATTAAACTATAGGAAACCAGTGACTTGCTGAGCAGCTTCCATTATAGTGCTGGTGGCGGGGTGGTGAGGCAGAGTGAGGTTGGCACACAGGAGGGACAAGGGGCATTTGGGCCAACAACCGGCGGCTACCAGCACCTCCTGTAGATAACAGCCAGGCAGCAGGAGAGGCCGGGGAAGATGGAGGTTAGGACGGTCATCTCCCTTGGGAGCAAGAGTGGAGACTGGAAACTTCCAGAATGGAGGATCTGGTAATCCTAGAGAGCGCCCACAGGGTCTCCTTCCCTGACCCTGCAGGTCCCAAATGCATTTTCGTCATATTTGAACCCCTGCACATAATACAGGCTCAGCTCTGAATGGCTGGGAGTGAGGTCAGGGGAAGGTTAGCTGGTGCTTTCCCATGCAACCCCACTCACAGTCTGGGCTGTATGGTCTCAGTTCCCTTGCTCTCTCCTGTCCTGTTTTCGGAACAGACACTTGTTCCTCCCCAGCTGAGGAGCGGCTCTGCAGGAGCGAGAGGGAGGTGCCTGGTCTCTTGGGGTCCCTGGGTCCCGCTGCGGCAGCGGCGGGCTTGGCAAAGGGCTGCTTGCTCTCAGATTGATCCACCGGCTGTGATTTGTCATTTTTCCGAGGCAGGCGCTGTTTTCTCTTGCTTCAGGAGGCCCCTTCGACACCTGCTTTATTTTTCTTCCTGCGCTGACGTGACGGGAGACAGGTGTTAAACTACTTAATCACTTTAAAATTGTTTTAATTTTCTGTTTTTTATTGATCTCTCCAGCACCAATTAATCAGCTCACTGGACCAGGCAGTTAGTACATTAAAAATTGTCAGGGAGGCCGTGCATCTTGCAAAATGTCTAAAAAATATTCGGCTAGCAAATTTCGTTTTTCTTTGGCATGCAACAGTCCTTGGCCCACAGAACTCCCCCCTGAAAAGGGCCTTGGCCTCTGGGGCTTGCATTCGGAATACTCAGGTCTCAGGAGGTACTCCAGCCACAGGGGCTTCCTGAAGGAAAAGACGGAAGCAGATGGCCTTTGCATCACTGGTTGGCCTCCTCTCCTTCCACTTTTGTTTGCTGCTTCCTGCACAACAATGGGTCTCCCTTCCCCAAGAGCATTGGGAATTTTTGTGGAAGGGTACACTTGCTTTGGACCGCAGGTCCTGACCCCACAGGGCAGGACTTCACGGTCTATAAACAGCCTTCCACCCAATTTCCTCCTGCAGGTGGGGGGCCTGCTAACCTTGGTAAACTCCATCTGTGGGCAGGTGACCAGGCGACACACTGCTTCATCCCTGGCACTTAGTGATGAACCTGAAGCCCTTCCCTGGAATGTTCTGGACAACCCCACCTGCACAGTCACCCGGTCCCAGACTGGAGACCCTTGCCATCTGTCTCATCACCCCTCTTGAAAATCATGTATTAACTCCTTGGCTGTACTTTCTGAATTAAATAAAACTTGGGCAGAATAACCAGGGGTTTCAATGTCATTTCTTGGGGGCAGAGATTTGTTTTCTGGTTTTCCTGTTTCTGCCTGATTTTCTATCATTTTCCAAAAGCAAGGCCTTTACATTCCCTTTGGCAACTTAAATTCAAGCAGCCTGTTGGCACGCAAGGTGTGTGTGCCTTCCTGGGGGCCCTCCCAAGCCTCTCTCACCCACCAGGCCCTCCTCCGTGGCGCCCAGCCGCCGATGTGACCAAGGGGAAGCTCTTCTTACCCCTCCCCAGCCCTCACTATTCACACTGGTGTCCCTGCATCCTTTGGCACAGCTTTGCAGAGTCAGGACCGGCAGCCCCCGCCCAGCCGGGTGCGGGGACACAGGTGGCCACACTCCAACCCCCCCACCCCGGACTCCACCCTCTCTGTATTAATTGGTATACGATTGGACTAGGGCATATAATCTAGTATTGATTTTCTCTCTGGACGCCTTTATTTGCTCACAGCTGCCTTGTGTTTAATTGGTGCTTTGCTCTAGAAACCAGAGGTCTTATCGGCCGGCTGGGTTCCTTTCCTGGGCCACACAGGCACGCACACACCCTGTCCTCTCGTTTGCTGGCCAGGCCCTGCCTCTCCCTGCCACCCCTGCCCTACTGCGAGGTTTTCCTGGGGAGGTGAGGGCGGGAGAGGGGGGCGAATGACCCAGAAGGGCTTTCTTGGAGATTTCTTGCCTTTACACTTGACCTCCCCAGCTGCGGCTGACCCTTCCAGTGTACAAGTGTGTGCTGGTGGGTGGAGGCGGCACCAGCCTTCGTTAGCCGGGTTCCCTGTGTGTGGCCTGGAGGCTAACCTATTGAAGTTGCAGTGTCTTCTTTATCTGAGAAAGTGAACCCTAAGCTCCTTGAGGATTCTTAGGGAATGTCTGTCCCTCACGTACCCATCGCCTGGCACTTAGTAGGTGCTCACCCAACATCAGCTAGCTCTGTCGATAACGTTGCCCCACTCAGCTTGGTGCCTGGGCTGCCTGGTGAGAGAGCAGAGCCACGTGTCCAGAAGGAAAAATGAGTCCCTGCGGCCACCTTTGCATGTCCACGTGGGATGGGGAGGGCACAGCTCCGCAGGGTTTACAGTCAGAGGGAACCTCAGCCCGCAACGCGCTGCAGTCACCACTCACCTTGTGTGGGGTAGGGCCCAGCCCCTGACCAGGGAGCCCACCCTCAGCAGGCTCCCCTGTCACCCTGCAACCCCTCCCCAGCCCACCCCCAGCAGGGCACCTGCGGTGTGGTGTTTTGTTTTTCTCCCCTCTGATTGTGGTCCTGCCTTGGGGCTGATCCTTCCTGGGCTTTTGTAGCAAAGGGAAGATGTAAAAGCCAGAGGTAAATACTGATTTCCTATTGACATAACATTAATTCTCTTGCTTGCTCAGGTGAATGTGCTCACTCATGCTACAAGATTAATGGTATTTGTTTGCCTGCTGAGAGAGGCCTAATGAGGGGCCTTTGACGGCATGCCTTCTGGGCAGCTATGGGCAAAGAGGCTGGCAGAACATGACATGGAGGAAATCCAGCCTTATCCACCACTCCGATGTCCCTGTGTCCATCCAGGCGCAGGTGCCTTCCCCCCGAAGAAGCAGGCTGAAAGAATTACTGCTTAAGAACATGAGCTGCTTGGGTCCCACCCCAGAGGTTGTTTCTGACTGAGGGCCATGTCCACAGACCCGCACACTGGGGTCTGGAGGTCAGCCCGCCCGCCTGCCCCCGGTGCATCCCTGCAAGGCCAGCCTAAAGGACCCTGTGCACACAGGTCCTCACTCCATTTGTAGCCAACTCTCTGTCTGAGGTAGGGTCCGTTGTTGGTGCATTGTTCTGACGAGCAACAAATGGTACTGCAGGGGACAGGCCAGCTCTGCCAAGGTGGGGCTACTGGCAGGGGGGCGCCAGGACAGCAGACGAAGACCCCAGTAGGGTAGGAGACGCCTGGTCCTGTAGGTAGTGTGGTGGTGGGACA